AGAGAGAGAGAGAGAGAGAGAGAGAGAGAGAATGCCACAGCCAGAGGCAGCTGAAAGGAGTCCTGAATCGTGATCGCTATCATTGAGAAGCCGACGATTCCTACAGAAATACGGCCTGTGAAGCACTATCGCCTTCTCCCAAACACAATGCACCCTGTTTACGTCTGTATCCAACCGGAAAGTTAGCTTATGTACATTCATGATCAGCGAGCACATACTCTTTGGTGGGGAGCAAGCATTGCTCTGGTTATCCTCAGCTGTTGATGATACATGGCTTGCTGCCAAGTTCTAGTCAGGCAAATGCGCCAATCATCGGCTGAGAAAATTAGAGAAGCATCTTGATCCCACACCCACACATCCCTAACAGTCCCCGGAGTGGAATGAATCCTTCATTACCACACTGACTTCCCCGGAATAGAATGTGTGGTCATCCTAGCTGTATTTGGGGCAACTTACAGTCTAGATACAGCAATAACATCTTCACGTTTCTTCACGTTCTATTCGGGTGAAGACGGCAGTCTAGTAGTAGACTCATATATATTGGTGATGCGTCTAAGAATTGAGCCCCCGTCTGTGGTCTGAATTCACTTGTCACCGGGTTCACTTGTCACCGGGTTTCGCTGCACGACTTTTTCGAATTGAACCCTCGTCCGTGGTGTTAATTTGCGTTTCTCAGTGTTCTCAGCCCTTTCGCTGCAGGATGTCAGTGATGCTGACCTCGTTGCCTCGGGGAGTTGAACCCTTGTCTGTGGTTTGATTTTGCCTTGTCACCACCACTTATTGCCTCAGGATGTTAGATCACCATGACCTTGGGCCACGAACTCTGTCGGCGGAGTGCCATGAACTCTCGTCTGTGGTGTGTCCTGAACTCTCATCTATGAAGATCGAACAGGCTTGAACTATCGTTGAACTCTCGTTGAACTCTCGTTGACCTCTCGTCTGGGGTGTGGCTTGAACTCTCGTCTGTGGTGTGGCTTGAACTCTCGTCTGCGGTGTGTCGTGAACTCTCGTCTGCGGTGTGTCCTGAACTCTCATCTGTGACTCAGATCCAA